GATGTGCAGTTGATAGCTGGTTTGCATTTACTTAAACAGCTGCAAACGTACACAAGTAACAGCCATATGTACACAGGGGTGTGTGTGTGCACACTGACACACAGGCACACAGACACACGGACACACAGACACACAGACACACAGACACAGGCACCTCTCGCGGCGTGCCGGACACTCTCCAAGGTGCTGCAGGAGGCGGCTCCGTGCTCCTCGGGCGACTCCCGCAGTTCTGCCTGGTGCAGGATTTTTTTATTTTCATTTTTTCCCAATCAGAGACAATTCAAGCTAAAAAGCCCCGAGGTTCCATTCAAGTACATTCTGTTCTTTTATGTTTAAGGTCAAGGAAAACTTTTATGCTGTTGATGCTCCCCTATCCACCTCCCCACACACATGCACACACTTCGGAGAGTATTTCATTTAACTCTTGACCTTTTAAGAGTCTTGTGTCACTGCAATAAAGGATATCTTGTTATAAACATAATTGTACGACTGATTGCCTCCTTTTTAATATTATTTAGCTCCCATATCATAAATTGAGGTCATATACTTTTATGTACTTCTTTGTTGTCTGCTTTCTCCTTCGACACATCTGTCAATAATCGGAAGTATTTCCAACAGCTGTGAACATACTCTCTTCATTTTCAGTAGCTGTCTTTCCAGGACTGAACAAAAATGAGAAAGATTACCAGCAAACACATTTTGCAGATTTTTCTGAAACAGCTTTCAGTCTAAGCTATAAGCTTACTCGCTCACCTGGAATTCTGAAACTTTTGCAAATAGCATTTATTCTTACACACAAAAGTGCAGATCTGCAATTTCTATGGCCTTATTGGTAGACAAATTACTTGCATGTTTACCTTAAAATATGCCCCCTCAGCTTTATTATGCATAACGGGATGTTCTTCCAGATACTGTGTTTAACCTTAATAAAGCAGTAGATTTGATTTTCCAGTTTGCCACCTACCAGCCCTGCATGGGAGGGAATCAGTTTGGCTTTGAAAATTAGACTCTGACCCTCGCCTCAACCTGCAGGGAATTTCAATTTCATCAGAGTGGTCTGTTCTAAATAATTCCTGGTATGTCAGGCTTTCAGACTCAAAGGAGCTCAGAAAACACCATCATTGTGCAGAGAAAAGTGAAATAAGACCTTGATGTTTTTTTGTTAGTACGTCAGTACTTGATGTTGCTGGACTGTGAAAACAACACACTTCCTTCCTAGCTGTGTTGAAGGGAGCAGAGGTTTCTCCTGGGAAGGAGAAACAAGGATGCTCTTAGCTCCCTAGCACTAGTGATCTTGAAGCTGCAATATGTCAATGTTTCAGTGCCTTCCCCTGGCAGATCCTAACTGTGTTTTATAATACTCCTACAGATTCACTGCTTTGAACACAGTTAAGTGATTACATGCCCTTTTCTGTTAAAGGGTTGACCGTCAGTTTGTTTAACTCATTTAATTTCTGCTGGTAAGCATCTATTGGTGATTTATTTGCATGCAGCCTGGCTTGCTGTTGTCCCAGTTTGGGCTTTTTACTTCTTTACTTCTAGCTCTGTGGTCCACACTGTCAAAATTATTTGCTAGGCTGGTGTGTTTCTCCCCAGCATTTGCTCATCACCTGTCATATGCCTGCCTCGCCCATGTGCAAAACCATTCAAATCAGCTGTTTGTTACAATACTGGAAGCAAATTAGTGTGGAAGCCCCAAAGAGGGCTAAATAGCAGCAGAAGAGCATGACAGGTCATGGTGAGTGCTGCTGAAACTGAAGTCCTCAGGAGGGGTCAGGGACAGCAGCTGTGGTCCCTGCTGGGTGACTGCCATTCTCTCCTGCTCTAACTTTGGGCCTTTAACTACCTTGGGTCAAGTCGCCACTTTCAGGCATCTATTTCATGGAGAGATTAGGGCTTCTCCCTGCTCTTCCCAATCCCCTTGGCCTGAAACTGTTGGCAAAAACTCCAAGGAAATGGTGTCCCAAATAAATGTGACAGTGACTGCTTGCCTAGAGGAGCAGGAAAAAAAAAAAAAAAAGGGTTGTTCTGACCTGTTGCTGTGCTCTTGGAACTGCTTCTTTCCCTTGGGATTTGCCTTGGATGTTTTGTTCCCAGCCCCCCGGGAGCATCCCTGGCTCTTGAGGGGACCTTGATGCTCTGAAGATGTCTTTTTGGTCTCCAGGCATACAGAAGATGTACCACACCCCTCGAGTAAAATAGAAAGGATCGCTGTGCCAGTGATCCCCGGGGACACCCATCCTGTCTGCCCCTCACCCACCCAAACTGTGACACCCTCGGTGTTTGTTCTCCAGGAGTTTACCACTATGAGGCAGCTCTGCACCTGGCAAAGGGGCTCTCTGCGACAAGTGGAGCTAAAGGCAGGGACATGGCCTGCAGCTAAGTCTCACTAGGGATCCCTTGGCATCACTGGATATGGAAGCAATTTCTTTTGGAAATCTCTTTGCTGAAAGCTGCTATCTTTGCTTCCCCTCCCAGGCAGTGTCTCTCGGTCCCTCAGCAAAAGGGGATCATCATTAGCAAATACTGACTTCCTCATGCACTTTCCTTTTTCTCTGAGAGCAAAGGGCTAAGTGCTTTGTTCAGTGATTTTCCGATGGATTTATCTCTACAGCTGTTTAGCAGACTGTAAAAGACTCGCATGAGCGGGGTGGGATATGCGTTTTAAACTCTTTAAGCTTAGGAGTAGCATTTTTTTTTTCTCCCTTAGGAGGTGTGTCTAACGCTTAGTGCTCTAAAACGAAGAGCCGGTAACAGATGCTTTGTCAAACTTAAAGGCGCTGCCTACCACGGAGTCACCGGGTGCCATCAAGATGTAGCTGCTGGGATTATGAGCACGGCTCCGGGGGCGCAGGGAGGCAGCCCTGCGCACACCACGCTTCTCCGGGAGGGTGACTGAAATTTTCATTCTCCCCAGGAGGGCTGCAGACAAGGCAAGGGAGGGGGCGGCACACGGCAAGGTTTTCAGCACCAGCCTTTTATTCCCATGGGAGATTTTGGCGGACGGAGGTTGGGGGCATGCGTACGGGGAAGGGAGATGCTTCCCGGCGTAGGAGACGCTTGCAGCGGCGGAGGGTGCCCTCCAGCTCTGCAGCCGAGAGCCCGCACGACTCTGAGCAGCGTGGCACTGGGGGGCCCCCTGCAGCTGGGTAGAGCCGTGCCTGTCCCCATCCCCATCTCCTGCCCCATCCCCATCCCGACGCTACTTCCCGCCTGCCCTACGACCGTGGGAAGCGGCGAGGTGCTGGAAGAGGGCAGTGCCGAAGCCTTGTGCCCCCTCTTTGCGACGAAAGGAGGGACAGTCCCAAAGGGCACCGTGTGCTGCCAGGGTGCTTGTGCTGCCACCGTGTGCTGCCGCCCCTCCCTTCTCCTCGCTCTGGGAGGGGCTGACCCGTGCAGGCTGTTATTGAGCTCTAATTAAATCTCCGGGAATCAACCTGCTCAAACACCAGCAACTTCTCTGGGAGGGAAAAATAATAAGAACAATAATAATAACAAGGGGATGAGGAGGCGGACATTGTCCCTTTTAAAGCTGATGATGATCCTGCTTAATGAATGTTAAAATATTCATTCAAGTGCCAAGGTCTCAGAGACAGCCTGTGGGAGGCTTAAGGGAGGCTGAGCTGTGCGGGTGGCCGTACTCTGCCCCGGAGGAGCAGTCCCATAGGGCCTCAGCCTGCCTGCAGCTTGCTTCAAACCTCCCAGTGCCAATTCCAGGTTCCCTTCCTGGCAGAAATCTCATCTAAGGTAACCCCACAGCAGTGAATTCCAGGCAAAACATTCTGCAAAGATAAGAAAAATAGGTGCAGAGGTCAGGAGCCAGCTCTGCTATGTTTCTGAAGAGCTATAAGTGATCCAACATCTATACCTTCTGGAAGTTCTCTCAGGCAGAGAAACACAGACTTCTGTAACACTGAAGCATGTGCTCCTCCAAAACTCAGAGCTCCTTGCCTATGAATTAGCTCTGCCACCCAGGGCAGGAGAAATATTCATCCCAGGGCCCAGCAAACTACTACCTGAGTCCTGCTACCCTGAAAGCACACCGCTCTCCCATGGGTAAAACCATCCTTGAGGTCCTTCCAGGAACAATAGCTGAATGTATGCAAATAGTATAGGCAGCTTTTCTCTCTGGGGGAAGCCCAGGCCAAGAAATAACTTCTGCAAAGTGAAGTGTCTTTTGAAGAGAAAGGGAGTGATTGGGCAGTGGATCCGGTGACCCTTCATGAAGGAAGCTGGGCTGGGGAAGGCAGGGCACGCAGCACCCAGGCAGAAGCTGGGGTCACCTTCATAAAGTGTCTCCTTCTCTCCTCTTCTTTCTCCACTTCTCCCCTATTATTCTTCATACAATAGATCAGTTGAGACCCCTATTCTGTTTGTCACCCTGACAGCCCTGACTCCAAGGAACAAAGCACCACCCCGGACCACAAATCAATTCCAGTCCAGAAGAGCTGCAAACAAAGACTAAGCAAACCAAAAGATCTTTATATCTAGATTATTTCCATTAAAACTGGCAAGTTCCCTTAAGCAAAGTAAATACTTCTCAGCCTAATGACTATTAATTAAAAGGGAATGTTTTACACCCGAGGAGAATTAACTGTTGTTCGCAAAATGTCTCTCTTTCCTCTAATTCGTTTGTCATTGTGCCGGGGGAGCAACATCCCATGAATATTTAAGCACGATAATCAGTTTAAAAAACTAAACTGGATTTAGTGTAGCAATGTGTTCTCCACAGTGAGGGGAGACTCCAGTAACTGCAATAATGTAAAACCTGTATCTCTTTCTGCTGCCATATATCGCTTGAGACTTACAGCTATCATGGAATTGAGAAGGCGTTGCGGGGAAAGATGTGGAAGAGGTAACCGAAAAAAAAAAAAATCAGTTCTGATGTGCAAATTGTGGATAAAGACTTCTGATGAGGACGAGGGGAGTGTCTGATGAGGAAGAGGGGAGAGTGTGTTGAGAGATAACAAGAACCAGTAATTTCTATTCAGCAAAGCCACCAAATCAGAGAGCAGTGCCGATCTTATTGGAGGAGAGCCTTCAACAGCAACTAATCCTGTCATATTGAAAGAAAATTGTAAATGTTCTCTGCAGAAATTGCCTGCCCATTGCAGCTAATCGAGCCCACTTCGCGCTCACCCCCCCTCCCCGCACACACCACGCACCGGTGGGCAGCGAGCAGACCCACAGCCGCTGCCCCCGGCGAGGACATCCACTCGAGATGCTCCCCTAGGCGCCCCGTTCCCCTCCCTCGCCACCACCCCCATGAAGGTGGCAGCTTGTCCTCATTTCCTTAGGAGGGCTGGGGGACGTATGAATTATTACCAACTCACTTACGAGTCCCAGCATCCGCTATTTTTAATTTTTCCAGGTTTGTCGAAGCCGTTAAGATAGGTTTAGTGTCGCTCTACGTATATATATGCATACATACGTGTGCGTATATATATATATCTGAAAGTTCAACTTGGCTGAGCTGAAGCAGAGACTCCCAGGGGCCGGTGCCACGGAGGGTGTGAGTGTATATGTGTGTGCCTGGGCGTGTGGGAGGGAGAGAGCGAGCGAGGGAGCGACAAAAACTCCATCAACCCGGACAATGCCACCTCTCGTTTAAAGCTTTCCAACTGTTATTCTTTCCCCCCATTATCACAGCACCAAGTAATCCGTCTTTCCCCCACCCCAGCCCCCCTCCCTCCTCTTGGAAGATATGGAAGAGAAAGATAAAGCGGCTGCCTCCGGGCTCTGATGCGCGCAGCCCGCATGCCTCCGCCGCCAGAGCCGGGGCCACTCCGCAGTCGCCGCTCGCAACGAGCCGCTTGCAGCGGGATGGGATGCAACTTCTGGTGATTGGAGCACAGGTAGGAAAGCTTTGCTTTTTTATTGACGCTTTTTTTTTTTTCCTTCATTTTCTTGTTCTTTCCATATTTTTTTTTTTAATTTTTTTTTTTAGTCTTTCCCCCCCCCTTTTATTTCTCGTCTTCCACCCTCCTCCCCTTCTTCGCCGCACCTACGATTTCATCTGCTGTTGTCAGAGGAAAGCTCCCGCCAAGAAAATAATGTCCAAGAAACGAGCTTACGTTTTGCTTCCTGATAGAAAGAACATAACAAAACGCGGGGAAACTTTTGCTGAAAGGGTCCATCGCGGTGCGGGTCACCTGGGGATGGCAGCGAGAAGAGAGAAGGCAAAAAGACTTCCTCTGTTGAGTTACGGTTGCGATACTTATCCCGGAATCGAGGCAGGCATGGTATAGAGCATGGTATAGCGGGGAAGGAGAGACGCAGTAACCTGATTTGGAGAGATCTTCACATTTTCCAAGCGCTGTCCAAGGGCTTTATGTGTAAACGCTGCATTCCGACACAGGGACGTCTCCCGGGCTCCCCTTCCCAAATCCCGATGTCACATATTTGTTGGCGACTCCTGCAAAATGTCCCCGGGCGCCCGGAGCGGAGCCGTGCTCAGGGAGCCGAGCCTGCCCTCGGAGAGGGCTGGCGGGCGGGTGGGAGGGCAGCGCCGGAGCCGGGGGCATCCCTGCCCTGCCGGGATCCATACGGGGTAAGGGCTGTAAGGGAAGGGGGCTTCGGCCGTGTCAGTGCGGTCCCTCACCCCCAGCATCCCTCCCGGGGAGCGTGCACCTGCCCGGGCTCAGCGCCCATCTCCGCGGCCTCAGGTCTCTGTTCCTGCCTTGGGGAGGGGGAGCACGGGCTCGGACGGCCCCGGAGGCGGGGAAGGCAGGGGGGTTCCCCGGTTCCGACCCCGTTTCTCTGATTCGGTGCCCCTAGGCTCCAGTGGCAGGTGGCGCCGGGGGAGGCGGGGAGGATGCCAGGGTCGGATCCTTCTCGCCCCGTTCCCCCGGCCTGGTTGAGCAGCTGGTAGGGCTCAGCCGGTCCCGGCCGTGCCTCCCGTCTCCTTTTCTGTGCCTCCGGCTCCGGGTGGGTGCTGTTGGCCAGAAGGAGCGAGCTCAGCTCAGGCAGCGGGAGAAAAAACAAAAAACAAAAAACAAAAAACAAAAAACAACTGCCTTCCAGAATCGGCTCCGGGGCACCGACGTCCTGGTCTCGCCATCCAAATCAAGTCATTTCAGAGGCTCTGAGGGGGAAAAGTTCTTTCCGGGCTGCTGCAAAGGCCCGTGCCCCGCCGGAGAGGTGCTCCCAGCGGGCGCCTTCTCTCCCCGTAGCACGGCCCCGCTGCCAGCTGCACGGAGACGCTGTCAGGGACCCGGGGAGCCCGCAGGAGCCGCCGGGTTGTAACTCCTTCCCACGGGCCGACGGGTGAGTCCTCCATCCCTTCGGTGGGGAAAGGAGGAAAGACTCTCCCCTCACCCTGTAAGATCTATTTTTTATCCTACTTTTTTTCATGTGTTAAAGTTCCTTTAGAGAAAGGAGAATTTAGCCAAAATAGCTTGTCTCCCCACTTATGTGTCAGCCAGTGTGCTTTCGCATGTCGGTTGCTCCTTCACTTGAAAAAGATCTTCTCTTTGCATAAGGGAATAAAGGAGAAGGGCCAACCTCTGTTTAACAGCATGCTTTTGCAGCTAAAAGAAAAAAAAAAAAAAAAAAAAAAAAAAAAAAAAAAAAAGACCAGCAATGAGGAAGGTTAATAGGGGAGATCAGAAGTAGGCACACTGTCTGCTTTTATGGTATTGCATCGCCTGCAATCTCAGCTCCTGTCTAAATACATGCCAGCCTCAATTATACAGTTTATGACACCAGACGCTTTCGATGACTCGTCTATAAACCGTGTTATGCTGCGCAGAGTATGCTCTCTCCTTTAGGCTCTTTTTGATTATAACTTTGGTTGAGCTTCCCCTTTGCAGGACCTCTGGATTGCAAAAGCAGCCTTGTTTGCTTTTGCATCAGGAGAGCAAAAAGATGTGCTGTGGGCTCACTGATTTGGCAAGCACATGCCCTGCTGAGGCACTCTTTCTGCCCTGGTCTAAGTCACCCCATGATTTCTGCATTGCAGTCCACCTGGGAAAGAGGCTTAGTACATGGCAAGTGGGTATGGGCTAGGCCCAGTTCAGTTGTTTTGGGGTGAGGACAAAATAATAAAAATGAGAGGTCATGGTTTTCTACCTAAAACTTAGGTGATAACTCATACCCAAACAGTTGTAACTCTGCATCTGGCCAGAACCTGGGGAGATCTGGACCACCCGTGGTCAGCAGTCTCCTGGTGAGGTGGTAGGAAGCAGTGTTGTGCCATGCTACTGCCTGGGAGGGAGATCAAGATAGAAGAAGGGAGAAACCATGGCCATCACTGAATAAATGTATCTATGAAAAAAAAAAAAAAAAAAAAAAAAAAAAAAAAAAAAAAAAAAAGCATTATTTTGCCTGCATGTTCAGTCCCATGTCCTTCTGTCATTTTGTTTTCCACCTCTGGACTGAGTCCCTGTGTGTGTTTTCTGTCTCTCAGTTGCTCAGCATGCTTGGATCTTTCACCCTTTATGTGTCTAATTCAGTAGTCTTCTCGGGACATCTACTATGAACTCCCCTACTGTTGTTGATATAGTCCCAGATGTTTACTCTGCCCCATATTGCTCCTGTAACACACTCACCCATTCACCCAGGATTCCTCTTCTCCAGTAATATCATGACCTACATGCAAAAGACTTATATTCTGGTCCCGTTTCCATAGCAATGCAGCATGGGAAAGGCAGACAACCTAGTAATAATGAAGCAGATTCCCCTTCTGTGAAATCAAAACCTCTTTGAAAGTTGAGTTCAATTTAAGGGAAAGTAGTGATCCGTGGAGAGTTGGATTTCTGGCCCAAAGCCCAGATCTCCACGCCCTCTAGTGCCAGAGGCAGGCAAGGGAGACCACCCGCGGGCACAGGGGATGCAAGGCTTGATAAAAATTAGAGGGGACAGAAAGAAACGAGTGGTATGAGGTAGGAACATTCCACCTAGTGTCTGTTTCCAGCCTTCTCTTCCCTATTCTAAATCCCAAGCTGCAAAAGAAGGCATGTTGGGATTCAGCTGATCCTGGTTCAGTCACCCACAGCCTAACACTGAAAGTTCCATGACACGAGTTAAACTGGTAGGAAGAAATTAGAGCCTATATCTAGTCATTAATTCACAGTTTTTGGACTTTTCTGACTGAGCTTCACAACTTGCAGCAATTTGCAGTTAATTTTCAGAGATTTGAAGGCACGGAAAAGGATTACCCACTTGTGAAAATGCTGCCATGACCTTCTGTGGGATCTTTGGATGGGTGGGTAATAGTAATCAGGATAAGAAAAGCTGAAGGGGCCCATGCTTGTTAAATCTAAAAGTGGATTCCCTTCTCTAAGAAACAGGCTACACGGAGGACTGATCACAGAGAACTGGAAAAAAAAAAAAAAAAAAAAAAAAAAAAAAAAAAAATTGTATCTAAATAAGACAGTTAACACATCTTTACCAGATCCTATATTTTGACAGACAGCTTTTGCCAAGTTTTCCCAAAATCTCCAAAGCATTTCTTGGGCTTGAGCTGTCGCTGTCCAAGAAACACCAAGAGTTAACTACTCTGCTGTCCTCATCCCACCAGCTGAACACCAACTTCCTGTATTTAGTAGATTGCATTACCTAGCCCTCCCTACCACACTGAGTGAGGGATGCTTAGTGAATTATCTCACTGCCCTCCTACATTTCCCTAAACAAGTGGACAGAATTAAAAGATGAGGACACCCCTTGAATTGTCTTAAAAGGCTTTGCCCATTTCCCATGACCCCTGAGCTTGTTTCCTAGTAAAATGCTTTAGCCTGTGGAGCTGCTAGTTATTTTGGACTGTTTATCCTACTTTTAAAGCTGTATCATTACCTATATCTGACACTGTCTATTCCCTATACAGAAAGATACATATCAGCAGATGTTTCAAAGAGACATTTCTCATATAACATGATTTTAAGTCCCAAGAGAATGTTGCAGAGTGAAGTGAGTTTTATCTCATTTCTATCAAGTACTTCCTACAGAATGCTTGCCAGTGAAACTTAAATGCACAGTGGGATTTCAGTAGTCCATGTGCTTTATGTATTCATTTTTTAAGAATATGATAATGAAAAAAATGAAGCGTACCATCATTTAGGGCCAGCTGTTTTGCTGAAAGCTTTCTGCCTGTTTCCTTTTGATGAGATGGTCCTCTGATCCCAGCATCTCTTTCGACTCCATGGCCTAGACTCTGATTTATTTATATCCCTGTAAATCAAGGGTGACTCCCTTGGCTTTAATTACTTCTGTTTTATTCTAGTGCAATGGAGCTCAGAATCTGACTTTCATAGAAACATAGTAAGTGTTGTAATTAGAATATTCCAGTGTTTTGACAGCTGTTCATTGAACAGAGCTGAGTCTGATTGCCAAAAGGGATATGCAATGTGATAATGGACATTGGGAATAAGATGGAACACTTCTGAAAATGATGGCAATAAAGATCTGTAAGAGAAGCCACAACAGAGAAAGGTGAGAATTTCTGTAAACCAGAGACTCCAAGGGTTTTCCTCGCCCTCTTAAAAAAAAGCACTGAGTAAACTATGGGCAGGTGTGGGTAAAAAGAGGTGGAACAACACAAAAGTATCTTCATAGATCTTTCTTCTGAATCACTGTGACAATTAGTGCTGGCAACCAAGGAGATAAAATAAACCTAGTTATTTAAAAGAATTATCTTGCTTAGTAATTTCTCTGGGTCAGGATTCTCGGGTAGTCTGAACATGTAAAACTCTTTTGCTTTCATGGGGGACAGTCTGATCTTCAAACTATGAAGATCATAGTTTGATCTTCAAACTATGAAGATCAGAACCTTCATTTCTTGAATTCTTTCCAGTATGGAAGAAATAAAAATTAGCAAAACTTATCAGTAGGAAACAATAAGTTCCTGTTGCAGCCAGCA